AAAGTTCCACCAAAGCACCCCCCTTCCTCTGAAATCCTGAGCAGAGATCAGAGGCAACCCCAGAGCCGGTGAAGCCTCCTTGGTTTCTCTGCCCATGGGGAGACTTGTTTCCTCTGGACTCTTGGCACAGAGTGGAGAGCTCGGAAGGGCTCAGCTGCGTCTGGGGTCTGAGTGTCTTCTGAGTGTGAACTTAGGACCCTCTGAATTGCTTGGGATGACTCTGCAGGTTGGCTAACGCGGATGCAGCTCAGTTTGTCCAGGTAAAAGTGTTTGGGATCCTCTGTTCTTTACCTCTCCCATGCGGCGCGGTGCTGTTTCATCAACCAGCAGTGGAAATGCTGAGGGTGCAGGGCGATTTCTCTTCAATTCCCTCGGCCAGTTCTCCAGGGCAGATTTTGGCTAGAGATATCTTCACTTGATATTTCTGTAAAACTCCTGGAAGAGCTTATGTTTATACTGCTATAAAAGCCTATCTTGCTGATAAAGCTGATTTTGCTGGCTGAATTGGTGTAGGTTCTGCTGATAACGCCTGCTCTCACTGCTCAGATAGCGTGTGTGCTGGGTTTGCTGAGATTGCTAACCTGATGCTCCTCTAGCGTAGATTAGACTCGAATTACGGAAAGATCTGATTGCGGTTAACGTAATGCCTGAAAGATCGAACCTCCACGTCCTCTTCACAGGTATGGTGCTTTTCCAAGATAAACACTTTTTATAACTCTCCTGATAGATTTCTGAGTTGTTGTTTAAACCCAGCCAGGAAGGTGCTTTCTAGCCATCTCCTCGGGTGCACCCAAAGATCTCTCTCCCCTGCAGTGCCATGGAGTTCATTCTGCACTGTTTCCCTCCTGTCTTTCTTAAAGAGACCTTTCAAGGCAGCTTTAAACAGATCTTTTTCCAGGAGACTATGGAGCCGTGAGTTTGTGGATGGGTTTTTCCTCTGAATGAGGATATTTTTCAAAGAGGAGCTGATTTCTTGCTACCCTTCACCCTCCATTGCAACATCTCCCATTAAAACCAGAAGAGCCAGGTACCCATGGCCTCGTGGCAGTGTCCGGGCTGGGTGACTCCAAATGGGGCCATCCCCAAAGCTTTAGAGGTAAAATGTGAATGCAGATGCCACCCAAGCATCATAGATGCCCTGAGGGGAAACCATGAGGCTGTTTCCTGAGCTGGAGTGTTTAAAACCATCACCTCTCCTCTTCCACACCAGCCCTAGCTTGCTGAGGGGCGCGGAAAGCAGCTGGGAGTGTGCTGTGGCTGGGAGGAGAGTGGAGGAATGTGGGAGCCCTTTCCAAGTGCCTCATCCCTTGAGAAACTTGGCCTGAATTTTCTTTCCACCTCCTGCCTCTCTTCTCTGAGCACTTCCTGGGGGCTGCGGAGAGAGACGGGCTCTCCCAGCACCTGGCATGACGCTCCTCAGAGAGCGTGCATGGATTATTTGTTGCTGGTTCAGCTTGGCAGTGCTGGGCAGAAATGAGAGGTGGGTTGGGGATGCCAGGAGGAGCCAAGCTCTGCTTGGCTGGAGGGCTCCAGGGAGGCAGGAGGAGTTGGGATCTGACAGGGTCTGGGAGAAACCTGTGTCCTTGCACCCCCTGGGCATTGCCGTGCTCTCCAGAAGAGGCTCCACTTGCCAGGGCATGAGGAAAGGCTGAAGGAGCTGGGTCTCTTTAGCCTGGAGAAGAGGAGGCTGAGGAGTGACCTCATAAACGTTTATAAATATGTCAAGAGGGAGTGTCAGGAGGACAGTGCCAGGCTGTGTTCAGTGATGTCCAGTGACAGGACAAGGGGCAATGGGTACAAGCTGGAACACAGGAGGTTCCACAAAAATATTAGAAAAAAAACCTTTTCACTGTGAAGGTGCCGGAGCCCTGGCACAGGCTGCTCAGAGAGGTTATGGAGTCTCCTTCTTCGGAGACTTTGAAAACCCATCTGGACACGTTCCTGTGTGACCTACTGTAGGTGACCCTGCTCTGGCAGGGGGGCTGGACTAGCTGATCTTTTGAGGTCCCTTCCAACCTCCAACATTCTGTGATTCTGTGATCACTGGGGGTGCCTGGTGGGCAAGGGGTGCTGCACATTGGTGATGTGAGCATGTCCATTCACTCTTCAAAAGAAGTTGGGACTTTTCACATGTTTCTCACAGCTTCCCACAGAGGGTCGCAGCCTCCATCTCAGATGCAGCCGTGGGTTTGGGTGTGCTGGGCATTTACAGTGCCTCTATTGCTTTCAAAGATAAAGGCACATTAGTATTTTATTGCCCCCTTTCTTCATCTGAGAAAGAATAAGAGAGGGGAAGGACTCGTTTCCTTATGACAGGATATTAGTCATTGTAGCCTGGCCCTCCAGTGAGGGGCTGAAAACCTCTCGTGCCCTCCTACAAGGCACAGACTCCCCAGCCCGTGAGCTCGGAAGAGGGATCTGTACCCACCCAGCCTCTGCTTTCCTCCTGGCTGCCCATCCCTTTCTCATCCTGCTTCCATCCTGAGCTGAGGCTGCACTTCTCTGTGGCTTTCCTGATGGACAACCGCGAGCATCCTCAGCTTTTCCTGCTAGGGGTAAGAGGTGCCCAGAGGGGCTGGCTCGGGGCTGGGCTGGCTCTGTGCTGCGCTGGCTGGCTCAGCACCATCGCTTTGCTTGTGCTCACCACTGCTGGAGCTGGTTCCCAGGGCAGCCTGGGCTCCCCATCCTCACTGGCCTTGGGCTGGGCCATATCCAGCCTGCCCTCAAGGACCTGGTTTTTGATAACGTGGAACGTGCCAGAGATATCCACTGCACCCGGTGTCCTTCCCTTCCCCGTCCTCTGCTCCTGCTGGTAAAGAAACGGAAAAAGCCTTTTCAACCTGTCTTGCCCTGTAGCCACATTTTGTGCCTTTGGGCCAGGAAAGCTGTGGAGGAGTCCACCCATGGATAATCCAGGGGCTCCCTGTTGGTGGGCCTGGTGGCACGGGGGGCTGGGGAGAGGCTGGCCCCCTTCTCAGCATCGTACTCATCAGCTCCTCTCCTGCTGTGCTGCAGCTGAAGCCAGCGTGCTGCACTCATGGAACAGGAATCTAGCATTGCACAGGGGAGAAATAAACCCCAGGGGCTGTTGGGGGCATTGGGGATCCCTGCCTTGTGCTCCTCAGTCCAAGCTCTGGATGTCTCTCTGAGCTTTGCCTGTGCTGGCTGCCTGTCTCCTTCCAGGGGGAAGCCAAGGAAAAAACAGCTGACTCCTCTAAACTGAGAAATCTTCCCTTTCTGCTGCTTGAATTAAAGCGTTGATAAATCCAGCAGCAATCTAACTCCAATCTGAGTATTTCAAATGCCCCTTTGTTTAATTGGCAGAGCCCCTGCCCGCAGACACAGGCAGCGCTGTCTCGCCCCGCAGCCCTGGGGGGGCGGCGAGGGGCGAGGACGCGGCGCCCAGGAATTCCTCCTCCTCGGAGGCACGACACGACCTCTCGTGCCAGCTCTTGTCTCGCCTCCTCTCTGTGTCAGCTGCCCAAACCCAAAACATTTACAACTGAAGGACTTAAATGAACTCGTGGCATCTCCTGGGACCTGCCTCGGGCAGGATAAGCTCCTTGTGCACTTTCCATTCTCTGCACCCAGGGCTCTCTTTATTCCCCGGGGCAGCAAAAAGCAACCCAGCCAGCCCAGAGCTGAGACAGGGCTTTGTCCCTTGGCCACAGAAGGAGGGTGACTGGCGTTCACCTTGAAATCCACCCCGGTCCTCTCTGACGAGTGTCACTCTGGTGATGGGTCCCTTGGTGGCCCCTTGCTGGGTGAGGAGGGGAGAAAACGTGACTCACCGTTATCAGAAGCGTGTTAACCCCACGGCAAACATGATTTCACTGGTGCAAGGGTAACGGTTGGTGACGTCTGAGTGGGGAAACATGGTCCCCTCCTCTCTGGGACCTAATCTAAATTGATTTATGAGGGGTCAGCAGGTGGACCAAAGCTTCCTGCTCCCTGGGGGACAGGGGACCTGGGGCAAGGAGGGGTCCCTGGGCTGCCCTGGGCTGTGGCACAGCAGTGTGGGTGTTATTTTGCCTCTGTCGGTGGGATGTCTAAGGGGGCACAGTAGCTTAAAAGGTACTTGCTCCTCAGCGGGCTGCCCATGCCTGCACTCTTCCTGCTGTGCCCTGGCAGGGGCTGGCAGCCCCCAGTGTCACTGGCAGCCTGTGCAAGCTGTCACAAAGCTGCTCCTGTGCAGGGCTGCAACCACACAGCACACCCCCACTGCTGCCAAGGGGTTGCTTGGAGTGGTCTTGGCCCCTGCCTGCCCATCACTTGAGGCTTACTGGTGGTATTTTCCTAAAGCAGCCCCTGTAAGGAGCCCCAGGGTTAAGGACCCACCTGTGAGACCCTTGTGCAGCTGTGCTGGGGTGCTCAGGACCGTGCTGCCTCCTGGATGCTGGTGCTGAGAGCTCCCTGGGATGGAGATGTGGCCACACCAGAGCTCTCTCCACCGCCTGGGGACCTTGATGTGCCGCAGGCTTCCAGGGGCAGCCCAGACCCGGTGACACCTGCACTCTTAGAAGGTGGCAGGGCTGGAGAAGGGGAGCATTGCCTCGCATTAGCTTCCAGGGAGCTGTGCGTGCCCCATCTGGCACCTGGGCAGTGGTGGCATGTGGCAATCTCCAAGGACAAACTGTGCAGGAGAGTGACTCCCCCTGGCAGCGCTCCCACCCACCTGGGCTCTTGGTTGGCAAAGTCGAGGTGGGGGAGAACAGGCCAGAGCAGGGGCCAGGGGCACCCTCTGCATTATGGACCTGCC